AACAATCAGATTTCACAAGGTTTTATTCATCTTCATTATTTATTGTTAACACATCCATTGAGTTGGTCAACTTATTTCAGTACTAAATGACCAGAAAAGTCTCTATGAAGTAAGACAATTGAATTCCTTTGGTTGGGCTAATACAGGCCTTATCTGAATGGAGAAGCTGTGTGGTTTGCTAAAGCGCCAGAGTGGGTGCCACACCAATCCTTATGCAACAGCACAAGAGAAAGCAACCACAAACATGAGTGTAACAGAAGGAAGTTAATAGTGTAGAGCTCAAAACCAACACAGCTGGAACCTCACCAGCTAAGAGGAGCTGTGACAAACTGGCTGAGAATAAACCAAAACACCAAAGAAAAGGCAAACTTCTTAGATAATATGAATACTATTTAGGATTGTATACCACCTACAACACAAGTTAGTTTGTTTGTTTTAAAAAAGCATGCTACAAATTTTTTACCTCAGAAAAAAGAATTACAACCAGGAACACAACCAAAAAACCTAACAGCTTACCTGCAAATACGCATTTAAATCTTTTTTCCTCTTTTCCAGAAATTCTCTGTCCATATTGTTAAATGTCTTTTTGCCCGGAAGTTTCAGTATATTTGCAAGGTTTTCAAACTAGAAAAAAAAAAGAGAAGATTTTTTTGTTCTGTTTTTAAAAAAGGTTTCAAATTGCTATTAAGGCTCAGAAATTACAGGGGTCATTATATTCACTATATTCATTATATTCACATGTTCTTTATCTACCATATAACACCTGACAAATAATTTCTGCATCAAGCCCAGAACTCTGTTTCCTCTGAGAAGCCAAAATGAAAGGTAGGCCATCAAGAACAAATGCATGAAAATTCTCAGGAGACTGTCAAGGGCAAAATTTAATTTCTGAACAAAGACATGATACTCATTTTTGAAATACAGACTAGTATAGTGTGTAAAAAGTTTAGGCTCGAGATTTATCGTTATTATTTCAGCAGAAATTAGCAGGGTTATGAGACACAACATCAAGAGAACCTGGAAATATTTCTAAAATATCTTCCCTTTCCTGATCTGATGATACCTACTAAGGAAATGATTAAGCTTTTAGCCCTGCAGTGGACAGCAGCACTCAGTTTACACATAGGTTATCGTATTGTGCTTGATATGCCATCACCTGTGCCTTTTCTCCATGTAGTGACAGTGATTGGCACTGGTTGACATGTCTTCCACTGTTCCAGTTTTACAGCAAGAATGGGTGTTCCAGAGAAGCAGCAGGGAAGGAAGAGGCCCTAACACTAAAGAAGGTTGAACATACTTGCTAAAATGCACAAAAATAAAGTTACAAGAATAAAACTTGAAGAATCAGGACTATCCACATATTTATTATTTACAGGAAGTCTGGATTCTGTAATATCCATAAGGGGGTAAAGAGAGAAAGGCATAGTATCTAGGCTTTAAGAAACAATCTGGAAAAAGGTTGTATCCTTTTCTCTCTATGGAAGACCACAAAATTATAGTTTTAATGAGAGATTGATTCCATTCAGTACCTGCAAGGTGTCTTTGTGCAAACACATAATTAAACTTTGGAAGGTCACAAAGCTCATATAACATTTGTGACCAGTAGGAAGCACCAAAGAATAACTCTTTCCAACTTTACAAATCCCATTCCCTTGCAATTAGGTCACATGGGAAAATAACTGAACAGAAGATGGTCTAGTTTTTACTTGGATCCTCGTATCTAAACAGAAGCAATGTAAGCAAATAACAGCCTCTAAAATACAGGTATCTACTTCAAATGGTATTTATTACACTACTGACTGAAGAAACTGGCGTTAAACTATTCAGTACTTTAAGGAAAAAAGCTCATACAGACACTATACACAGCTAACTTCAATTCCATTTTGAACCAAGTACCTATTTTCTCTGGAAAACAAACAATAATCCCTGCCCTTCTTATTAATTTTAAATAAAAAGCGTTCAGTATATCAGTGACAATCCTGTGCCTGTAAATGTAGTAACAACTGTTTTATTGTCAAAATAAAGCAAAATTTGGGGGACTTTCTGAGATGCTTGAGTGAAGCACAGGAATTTCCTTACTTCTTGCAATCTGGGGAGACCTTATTGCTCTCTACAACTACCTGAAAGGAGAGTGCAGTGAGGTGGGTGTTGGTCTCTTCTCCCAAATAACAAGTGATAGGACAAGAGGGAATGGCTTTAAAGGGGAGGTTTAGTTTGGATACTAGGAAAGATTTCTTCACTGAAAGGGTTGTCAAGTATCATAAAAGGCTGCCCAGGGAAGTGGTGGAGTCGCCATCCCTGGAGGTATTTAAAGGACATGTAGGTGTGGTACTTGGGGACATGGTTTAGTGGTGAACTTGGCAACGATAGGTTTATGGTTGGACTAGATGATCGTAATGGTCTTTTCCAACCAAACTATTCCATGATCTTACTGTTCTAGGATAAGATTTCCATTTTTTGGAAATTCAAAGAAATAAGATTTAGCAACAAGAAATGTCTGAATATTAATATTTTGAAAGTTTTTCTCTGCCATTTTTTTCTAGTAATTTATTAGTAAGTCAGTTCTAAATGACTGCCCCATATCAGCAGAACATTAACTCACTATAAGATCTGGGAAACCAAACATATTTCAACAGGTCAAGGATTCTTCAAACCAGTGAATTAATTTTTTAAGAAAACAATTTGAAGAAAAGTACAAAAATTGGTATTTCTAATTTATTGACAGTACACTAAGATAATAAGAAATTCATAGGAAAGTCAGACTTTGTTTATAATTAATACAAATATTCACCACAATATTTGCTTTTTTAATAAAGTTTTTTTCCATTTTTGCTACTGTTGTGACTAACCTACCTGCACAAAATTTGTTCTCTATGCCTCTCTATTAATTACAGAGTAAAGGGATATAATCCAACACTTCTGACTAGTTCAATGGTTATGCAGTCAAATCTGACTTCCTCAAAGGCTCGGTTTAAAGGCATTTCACCCTCCTCTTTAAAAACAGCATTTTCAACACTTTTTCATGTCAGCAGGTTCTACTTTGTACCAGCTGGTGAATTACAAGTCTCTATTATTTCTTCTTTCATTTTAAGGGTGTTAAAAGTCTAAAAATACAAGTACAGCAATAAAAGGCAGATTGTCTAGCAGTACACTGAACTTCCAACAGCTGTCCCTTTTGAGACACCACTGATCCTTAACATTTCACTTAAAAACTTAAATACCTACTTCCCAAGCTCAGTTTTTCTTTCTTAATCTCTACAACAAATGTAACAAATGAAATATGCCACTGTTCAAAAACAACAGCACTTCCATGCAAACATTTTAAAGTAAAATTAAGCTAAGGGAGGCATAGGGGGGGAAGCTTTCTAAGCTTCATTTCCTTTTGTTAGAGCCATTATATAGCCATAAGGACGAAGCTGTATAAACGTGTGCCTGTAAACTATGCAGTACAAATAATGTACAATATAAACAGTAAAAAAGTACACTTTAAAGGAAAATAACATAGTGCTATAACTCCACATTGTAAGTTACTTTGAGAAAGACAATACTCGTGTGATACCATCACACAGAAAAAGCACCTTTCAAAGACGCTTTAAAAGATTTTAATGGGATTAATTACCTGCTCAGTGATCCTCATGTGGAAGTCATGGAAGTCACTGTAGCGTCGGTACGTCTTCCATGTCTCTTCTGTGTTTGGATTTCGCCGATGGACTGTGATAGCATACAGTGCGTATGTCTTGCCATGGTCATTACACACTCCTGCCACAGCATATGGGTCATAGTCAGCATAGACTAGTAATTTAAAAACAAAATAAAAAAGGAACAAACAGAAAGAAGGAAGACGAAAGGACACAAACGTGAAGTGAAGAAATGTCTGGAATGGCAGACTTGAAAGACAAAAATGGACATGCAAGCAGAAGAGTAAGCATCCTTTTATCCAAAACACTGTATAAGTGATAAAATCAAGAAATTTATTATGTAAACTTAAATAGAGAGTAATAGAGAGATTAAGCAGCCTTAAAGTTAGTCAAGTTTCACTGACATTCAAAACATAAACAAAGAATAGAAAAGGTTTCCACTTGGAAGAACTGTGAATAGATCTTTGAAAAAAATAATTTTAACCTAAACAACTCAAGATATGAGTGAAAGACAACTGTGAAACCAGAAGAAATTTCAGTCTGAAAAGTACTCTAAGCATATAGCAAAAGTTTGTCCATCAAAAAATCTGTAAATACAAGACAGTGCCAGCAAGCCATAAGCATTCAGTTTTGTTATTAACATCAGCAGTTTGTTATTAAGATAAAAAATACACCCCCAATATTTAAGTCAACAGGAACTATATACACGCACACATATGCATGCATTCTGTAGGTATGTGTACATACACACACACTTTATAGAGAAGTCAATTTATAAACAGAAAGAACACAGCTAGCTATCTTAAACAGAAGCAAACATCTATTTGTTCTCTATGTAGTACTTAAGTTCTCTTCGACACTACTCCATAATAGAATTCTCACAGTATTGAGTTTGTTTCAACAACTTTCATTTAATCTACAGAATAACCTAGAACCAATATTGTTTACACTGCACACTGTTTAAATTGGTAGCATGTTGTGTCTCTAAGTACTGAGCCAATACCCAGTAACCACATTTTTCCAGTGGCCAGATCAAAATACTCTTTAATCAAGTTCTGTGAATTTTTCAATGCACCCGCGCTCCATAAAATGCACTTTTATTAACAAATCATCAGCTCCAACCTCTGTTGTGCTTCCAGCCTTATCGTCTCTCAAGCATAAGGCCAAGGTTCAAGCAGCCAGGGAGCACCTCTAGGAGAGGGGCAGCTGCTGACAATGTAAAAATTACTCACTAGTGAGGTGCACAGTGGACATGGAGCATCTTTTCTTTGACATCTACCCTCTAGAAGAAGAATGTTGAGTGCTGAACACCAACAGAAAAGTGCGAGCAGTCAGGATGCTGCCAAAAGACTGCCCAGAGAATGGAGCCAGGATCCTGAGCAAGTCCTATTCGCTAAACTCACATTCACCACTCTGCCATGCAGCCACTAGACCACATCTGAGGTGCACTGCTCAGCTGCACCTTTAGGAGTACCACTTTAGGACAGGAGTGGCAGAGAACGAAAGAAGTTGTCCCCGTCGCCCCCTATGCCACAGCCTCTTAATCAGCATTTATTTTGCAACGCAAGACACAGAGAATACTCAAAGACTATGAAGAAGATCTTGCACACACCCCACAAGCACAGTAAAGGGTAGTAATCTGAAGAGGAGAGAAGCCTGCACACAGATGCAAGATGCACCTACTGCCTGTAGCATCCAGAAAGCAGGGACTTGTATTTCTTGTTCAAAAATGAGGTAAAGAGGAAGACATCCAGCTTAATCCTATCTTACAATATGAACCTGTACACATCCCCTGGTTCAACTGGAATGTTACGGATTCAGAGAGTCAAGCTGATAGTTATCAATACACACTGCCATCAAGATTATAAATTTAACCTAATTTGTCTACTTCTAAGATAACCTTTATTCTTAGATCAAAACAACAAAAATTCTAAGTTTAATTCAAAAAAAAGTATCACATGTCATTTTAACAGAAAAGTAAAATTGTGATTCTTAACTTTTAAATTATTTTTTATCCTTCTCTAAGGACTAACTGCATGAGACATGGACTGCACCATGCTCTCACACTGTCCTGGAGAAACAGAGTGATTTGCAGAATCAAACAGAGTTTAATTAAAATGTCAAGTAGCTGAATTCTTGCTTACAGCTCATGTGTCTGCTATATAAATGCATAGATTTAAAAGTCTATTGTATAGTAAAATCTACCCCAAAAAAGTATCTGAAGATCAATTCAAAATTTAATTACTCAGTGCAATTTCATCTAACTAGAGTTATTTGCAAATAATATCTGAGAAGTTTTTATTTACTCTCACACAATATTTTTTTTAATTTATTATTGTGAATTATTATTTATTACTGTGAAGACTGAAGTCACTCCCTTAAAGTAAGCTAAGTCAATAAGGAAGCACAAAAAATAGGTGAAAATACCATAGTTAAGAGGAGTAAACAGTCAAGAATTAGAATTGTGTGACTAGAAAAGAAATGGCTTTCAGAATTTGTTCTTTAAATAATTATTAAAATAAATGTAACTCAATATTTAGTTTAATGAATGTTTCTTCAGAGAGAGGAAAAATAATAATACCATAGACAATGAAAATTAAATCACATTTTAAGAACAGATTATAGTCTACAACCTACAGCACCAATTCTGTAAGGATTTCCACAAGAACTTAATGGGAAATATGAATTCAAATGTTTTATGAGGTTAAAAAAAATGAAAGGATTAGGATTTCAAGGGCCTGTAATATCAAAAAACTCAAAATCAATGGTGGAAAACAAGTAAGCAGCCATTGTAACAGATTCACTTACCAGTATCCGAGATGTATGCATGGAGTTGAACTGTCTCATCAGAAGGAACATTTGAAAGGTCATCTAAGGACTGCAGGGTGGGGGAGAGAGGGGAGAAGGAAGAAACAGGCAAGAGAATAAGATCTCAGATACATCTCATTTGAGAGATGATTTTTGATTCCTCTATTTCACTTTCAAACTTTCAGTTTACTACACTAATAGCTTAATGCACTGTAACAATGCAAAGAAGCATTTCTATTACCTGGTTACTAAAGCCTTTCTTTTACACAGAGTGTAGGGCCCTTCGTTTCCCCGACAAGTTTCACATAGTTTTGTGATCACTCTAAGATATTTGCCACTTTCATTTGATACCTCAACTCTAATAGAAGTACAGGTAAAAATGGTCTTCCACTGAGCATTTAAAAAGCCCAAAAAACAAACAACTGTGGAGCTACAGATGATGTATAACACATCTTCTGGTTTTATCTTTATACCATTCTGTTTCCTTCCAACTGACTTAAAGCTCTACACAAAAGTTACAGTGCAGTAAAACTTGAATAATTTCTCTGCTGTATGTAAAAAATAGCAAACGCTTTTCTCAGAAATGTTTTCCCTTGTAAAAAAAGTGAACATGTACATGCCTATTCAGTAATTACTAGAACTGAAAGAAGCCTAATGGGTCTTTTAGAGAAGCTTTACTATTATTTAAAATTAATACATCTGACTACCAAGATTTAACACAATAAAGCTCTCCAAGGTCACTGGGTAAAAAACTTGGGTATGCAACTGAAAGAAATAGAGAATGGGCCACTTCACGTGTGATTCTAATAATAAATTACCAGGTTAAAAAAATAAGACGGAGTTACTAGAGTTCACAGGCACTGAGATCCCAGCTACTTTATATATTTTACCCCAAAATACTAACATTCTTCAAGATATAAATTCAGAATTAATATGCAGCTATTAGCTATCTTTTATAATTTAAGCAAGACAGTTTAATAGTGAATTGCCACAAAAGGTTATCTAGAATGGGACCTCCTGGGTAGCCATGCCATACCTGTGCCAAACTAAAACCTCAACACATGTAAATCAAGTTTCTAACCCCCTCTGTTTCCTTAAACATAAACCAAACTTATATGATTACAATCAAAAGACAAGTTGGGCTTGAAAATGTAAATTATTTAAAGACCCCGCTCTTGTCCCTTCTCCATTTGAATCTTTACCATCTCCATGATATCCCACCATAATACTCCACTCCTTCCTACTCAAGGTCTCTAGAGGGAAAAACTCTTCTCTTCCTCAATCAGTCTCTGCCTCAATATATCACTATAGAAAGCAAGGGCAATAATATTTTGTTATAAAATCTAGATACTGAACAAATGGCATCATTAAAAGGGTCTGAACACATTAAGTATGCTCTAACATGTACTGCAGTAAGGAATCTCCTAAATATCTTATGATACAGCTTGTAGACTTAGAGTACAAAAGTCCTAGACTAAAAGAAGGTAGAAGAAAGAAGAACCCATTTGGGAAATGTTTGCCACTGCATGCTATAGTGCTAAAAGTTCATGTCTGTTCAATGGTCAAACAGATGAACTCAGGTAAAAATATTTTGAGAACAGACACCATCTTTACCTCGAGAATTCCCAAATCTAAGTTACTGAAGAGTATTCCGGTAAAGTAACACTCTAAGTGGACTGTTCCTATAATCTTCATTAGACACTTGCTTTTGGCCATTGTTGGATATAGGGTTAAGACTTTCTCTGATCAAATCCATTCTTAAGCAAGTCACCCTTGGAAAGCAATTACCCTGTACAGTGTGCCCTATACTGCAAATTTAAGAGCAGAATATCACCTGAGATTGATGAATGGCAGGAATCTGTGGAAGCTTGGACAACTGCTTGATATTCCGAGAGCTCTAGGATTTGATTATCAGTAAGATGGAAGCTATATTATTAAGGAAGACAAGTAACAGTCAACTGTTCTAATATTGTTTGCTATGAAATACTGACATTAAGGTACTGTTCTATTTTTTAAAGGGAATCATTATTTCTTGTTTTCCTGCCTCCCTTCATTGCTACTCTAACAGTTCAGTTTTCTTCTTGATAACTGAGTGGGGTTCCAGTTGACATACACTCATGACTGCCAGAAGTTCAATCCAGCCATTTCTGCTGCCATTCAAGGTGTTGGATATGTGACACCTATGTAACTCCTTCTATTTACTCCATGCAAAAGCAATATGTAAAGCTCATATTATGGATCCATTTAGATGAAATCTACAAGAGTCTATAAATATTCTACTATGGTTTTATACCCCCCCAAATATACCCTACTGGTTTAATATAGTAGATTAACATGTCAAATTTAAAGACAGAAATCAATGATATTTTTGTAAAATAACTTTTCCTCAAAATACTTTTGAGCCTCTCTTCCAAATAATATTAAAATACATTCTTACAGTGAAAGTATAAACTGCATGTGATATTTTATAATGGAATCTTCAAGAAACACTCAACTGCTGTGGCAAGGCACTATATAGCAACAATTAATACAAGTAAATGAAATGGCTGAAACTTGAACAGATAACATGGACAGTTTGTATTTAATACGACTCAATATCTTTGACATTAGGTATATCCACAGGAAAACAAGTTAATTCAAAAGGAAAAATATCACACCACAACCCAATCTTATTTAATGCACTGTCATTAGCTAAAAGTACAGAAATCCCCTGACCTTTGAAGTAACCTTCCAAAGTCTATTTTTCTGTGTGTAACTGACTAACACAAAGGAGCTAAACGATGTATATAGAAATTTACTCTTGACATGGAATTCAGCCAGGAAAAACTAATCTACCAGTATTCAAACACCTGTAAAAGCATTGAAAACCCTGAACAGCTCTCAACAATATGGACTACAGAAAGTAAAGTTCTTCTGCATAAACAGAGCTTTATTACACATTTCTGCTAGAATGTTCTTCATTCTTTATAAAAATAACGTGTCATTCTGCAAATATACTTTTCACAACAAGAAAAATCAAGACTTGGTAGTGTTCCATGCAAATATCTATTTGTATTGCAACAGTGCTTGATAAAGGCTTTAAGACTTTCTAGCTTAGTTTGGAAAGGCCACACATAACTAAGCAGTAGATAAACATGAGCCAGAAGAGCCATTCCAATGACAAAACCCCAACCATAAAATGACTTTGATATGTCAGAGTATTCTTAGAAAAAGTACTTTGAGACAGAAAGATCTTTTTAAGAGATTAGTCAATTAAAAGACTCTCTTATGAAATGTTACCAGAATTGTATGTACATTTATAAAAAATATTGCTAAATTAAGTTTTCCTTCTGCATCTAACAGGAGGTTCTGTAAATTTTATCAGCTGACCACCTCCCTTTTTCTTTGTATTTCAAAATATAAACAAGAGGAAAACAATTGGGAAAAAATCCTAGCTTTAAAAAAAACCCAACCAAACAAACGAACCACACAAACAAAACCCCCAAACAAAACCTAAACTCAAAACAAACACAGGGAAGCACATTTATGTTAAATGTATTTCTTTACAAAATAAATTTTATTCCTCTGTGTGCAAGCAAGATCTAACCAATGCACTGGAACTCCTAAGAAGCTACAGCATATTCCAAGAATGAACTAGAAGGGCCTATGAATCACCTAAAACAGGAAATTGCATGCAGATTGCAAACCTTTCTTAAACTAAAAGATGTGGAAAAATACTCTCATATGCACAATTGAACCTTGCGTATCTTCTGGCTCAACTACATATAGTCTGAAGAAACAAGAGGAGGAAATACATCAAAATTTTTATGATTTTTCCTTTTTCAATAACTGTGATTTGATTTTCAGTTTAAAACATTTTAAATCTAGTAAGATCTATGTGGGACAGATTATTTAGAAAAGGTCTGGCAGAAAGATACACTTTTCTTTATACATATGCAACCACTAATACACACAGAGGCATATTTCAAATATTTAGGTACATTCATGTGACAAAGAAAAGAGGTTCTGACAAACTGACGCAGTCAAGAATTGCTTAATAAAATGCTACCAAAAACTGAACTTGAAATCGGTCAGATTAGAAAACAAAGATTCCTATTTTGAATAAATAAAATGTTTCCCAATCAAGTTCTAACTCAAAAAAATAGAACCATAGAATGGTTTGGGTTGGAAAGGACCTTAAAGATCCCCTAGTTCCACCCCCCTGCTGTGGACAGGGTTGCCAGCCACTAGATCAGGCTGTGCAGGGCCCCATCTAACCTGGCCTTGAATGCCTCCAGGGATGGGGCATCTACAACTTCTCTGGGCAACCTGTTCCAGTGCCCCCCACCCTCTGGGTGAAAAATTTCCTCCTAATATCTAACCTAAATCTCTCCTCTTGTAGCTTAAAACCATTTCCCCTTGTCCTATCACCATCTGCCCATGTAAAAAGTTGCTGTCCCTCCTGTTTATAAGCTCCCTTCAAGTACTGTAAGGCCACAATGAGGTCTCCCCAGAGCCTTCTCTTCTCCAAGCTAAACAAGCCCAGCTCCCTCAACCTTTCTTCCTAACAGAGGTGCTCCAGCCCTCTGATCATCTTCATGGCTCTCCTCTGGACCCACTCCCACAGCTCTACACCTTCCTTGTGTTGGGGGCTTCAGGCCTGGACGCAATACTCCAGATGGAGCCTCAAGGGCAGAGTAGAAGGGGACAATCTCTTCTCTTGCCCTGCTGGGCATCTTTTGATACAGCCCAGGATACAGCTGGCCTTCCAGGTTGCAACTGCACACTGCTGGCTCATGTTAAGCTTCTCATCCACCAGGACTCCGAAGTCCTTCTCAGCAGGGCTGCTCTCAATGAGTTCTACTCACAGTCTGTACACATACCAGGGATTTCCACTTGGCCTTGTTGAACCTCATTAGGTTCCCGTGGGCCCACTTCTGAAGTCTATCCAGGTCCCTCTAGATGGCATTCCTTCCATCTGTTGTATCAACTGCACTACTCAGCTTGGTGTCATCAGCAAACTTGCTGAGGGTGCACCCAATCCCACTATCCAGGTCACTGATAAAGATGTTGAAGAGCACCAGTCCCAAGACTGACCCCTGGGGAACATCACTCGTCACCAGCCTCTACCTGGCCACAGAGCCATTCACCACAACCCTCTGGCTGTGACTATCCAACCAATTCTTTATCCATCGAATAATCCAGCCTTTAAGTCCATATCGTTCCAATTTAGAGGTAAGGATATGGTGTGGGACCGTGTCAAAGGCCTTGCACAAGTCCAGGAAGACGACATCAGTTGCCCTTCCTTTGTCCACCAATGCTGTCACTTCATCACAGAAGGGCACCAGACTGGTCAGGCATGATCTGCCCCTGGTGAAGCCATGTTGGCTATCTCGGATCACCTCTTCACCTTGCAAGTGCCTTGCCATAGTTTCCAGGAGGATCTGCTCTACTATCTTCCCAGGCATAGAGATGAGGCTCACCGGCCTGTAGTTCTCCAGGTACTCCTTGCTCCCTTTCTTGAAAATGGGAGTGACGTTTCCCTTTTCCCAGTCACAGGGGACTTCACCTGACAGCCATGACTTTTCAAATATGATGGAGAGTGGTTTGGCAACCGTATCAGCTAGCTTCTTCACGACCCTGGTATGTATGTCATCCAGCGCCACAGACTTGTACACATTCAATTGCATGAGGTGGTCTCTTGACTTGCTCTGTTCTTACAGTGGGAGGGACTCTGCTCTCCTGACCCCCACCTAGAGGTTCAAGGACTCAAGAGACATTGGAAGCCTGACTGCCAGTGAAGACTTTGGCAAAGACCTTGTTGAGCACCTCAGCTTTCTCCAGCTCTGTTGAAGCCAGTTCTCCCTTTTCATTTATCAGAGGGGGTACGCTCTCCTTGGCCTGTCTCTTCTGGCTAATGCACATGAAGAACCCCTTTTTGTTATTTTTCACATCCCTCACCAAGTCCAACTATCAACCTATAGAAACCTAATTAAATGCCTCATTTAACAGTCTAATTTAATTTAATCCTTTGAGATTTTGGTTTCAAAGGATTTGTTTTCACCTTTTATTACCTAACTTCAAATTTATGTCTATTTAAAAAAACAAATAGAGATAAGTATGCTTTGCATAAATTAACTACAGATTATTACCGTTTCTGTGAGAAACAATACAAAATTTCATTAAACAGAGGAAAGTACAAAAGGCATAGTTTGAACTTACAGATTAATTGATACCTTACGCGTGCTTCGATTTGACTCAAGAACTTTTTCAGAAATTAAACAGCAATGAAGTAAAACCTCTAATGTACATAATTTAAACTATTTTATAACACTCTCCCTACTGTTGGGGAGAAAAAAAAAAAATCCAAGCACTTACCAGATTTATGCTGCCAGTAGGAGACCCATTAAAAGATTCTGGGAGCAGTGAGGAAAGGGAAAGGAAAAACCAGGTTAGAAGATATTTTACAATGTAGGGCCACACACAAGAAATAAAAACGCAAAGGTAAAACATTATGGAAAATAATGGACAGAGGTGGCATTAGGCAAAATGTTGTGTCCAACATATAAGTACTTCAAGTTTCCAATAAAGACACCTAGAGGAAAACATATGTAAGTTTATACAACTATAGATATGAAATAAATACTCCAGAGAACATTGCTTTTCAAGCTTATGCCATCACATGAAATTGCTTCATTAAAGAGTCAGCTTAATAGTTAAATATATTTCCATTAGACTTGTATGAGAAGAATGATTTTAATTGCTTTATAAAGCCACATCTGCTATGTACTTTCAATTTCTATTTCCAGATGAAGAATACAGTGACATATTAAAACAATCAAACATGCTGAAGAATCTCAAATATTGTTGAATAAAAATGAGAATTAAAGAGTCACATACTTATTTTAGCAATACACTTGTTACCAAGACTTGACAAAAAATTTACATGAGATTAATAGTTACTACAGAATAACACCACCCTATTTTACTCCAGTTTACAAAAAACCCCAAAAACCAACAAAACCACAAGGAGGAAACATTGATGTAAAAATCAGAGATACTACACGAACTTTTTGATTTCTCAAAAACAGCATGGATAATTTTCTTACTTTCATTTTAAAGCAGAAAAAAGAACAGTTACAGGAAATCCCCCTTACAGATATAGAGCTCACCTCCTTCACCATCATCTGATCCTCTGAAACTAGGATCCTTTAGCATATCCAGCTCAGCTAACATCCGCACATACAACACATTCTGTTTGAATGAAGGGTAGAATCTTTCATCTCGCAGCATCAATTCATACACCTTATTGAAATAAAAATGCCAACCTTAGAAATACTTAGTATATTTTTTAATTAATCAGACAAGTTTTCATAAGTTCTACTTGATCAACATGTATCTGTGCCTTCTATTATGTGTGTCTGGGTTTCCTTTAAAACCCCAATGCAAGTTTGTGAAATTTCAGTTCAGGCTTACTCTTTATGGAAAGGCTATGAGGACTAATTGTGCTAGAAGTATAATGCAATCTCGTAAAGTATCTAACTAGTGAGACATACACATGAAGGAAGGAAAGTAGCACATTAACTATAAATGCTTCCTTCATCTCCTCTGAACCTCTCCAGTTGTGCTATAAACATGTGTGGTCTTTATCCATTTCACAACAGGTTATCTCTCTGAGTCCTTCTTTGCTGATAAACTATAAACACAGACCTGCAAACGCTTAGGTGGACAGGTGAGAAGAGGGAAAGGAAAGGAGGGAAGACACTGCATACTACTCTCCTGAACACTTCTGGTTCAGCCAACACAGTATAACCCTACCTCAGAAAGAGTTAATCACATCTTCTTAAAAAGTTATCTATATAGCCTATACTATGACAGTATATATACATATACACACATATCTATACATAGTGGGAATTAATTCATAATGTTTGGATATTCATGTCAACTCTAGAATATTTTAATGATTTTTTTTTTTCATGGAACACTTTGTACAAGTCCTATCACCTGGTAAGAATGGAAAAAAATTCATGGAAGTCTGAGGAAGTCAATTTCTTTTGTAACACATGAGAAATTTATGCTCTTCAGCAGAAATCACAGGCAAGGACCTTGCAACATACTTTGAGCAATATGGATTTCACAGTGTGTGAAAACAATTCTAAGTTCTACAGCTCCTATCACTAATTGTTATCATGAATAAGAACAATAACTTAATGACCTAAAATAAAAACCTCTCAGACTGGGTATACAATTTATTGTCAGAATATTAATAATTCACTTTATATATTTATAAATATATATATCTATATATATATTGGACTTGAGTGATAAAGTGTATGCATGCAGGCAGTAAAAAGACTGTTTTATCTTCAGTACTTGCTGCTTCTCAGTGATACACTGTTCAGGCTTGCAGAAACAGAACAGTCAAATTAACTTCTGGAAAGAGATATAGAATTTAATATGGCAATATGCTTACATCCACCTTCAAAAAACAGAGCTAAACCAGACCAAAATTGTACCACTCAGTTATTCTATACAGGCAAATTTTCTTAAATTGGTGCATAAACATAAATAATAATCCCATAATTCTAAATTATGCTTCATAATTATTCATACAGGACACCTATTCTTTCTCTGTCTACTGCTTTGAAAACCATGGGCTACGTATGGCTAAGCAGAAGTTGGAAATTTAGAGTATGATTTTTTATAGAATAGGAAAATGGTAAAAGAGGTCTGAGGTTTCAGATGTCAGAGTTCCTTTCTCCTTTTTCAGTGGTCACAGTGACATTTAATACTCTATAGCCTTAACAGTTCTTATGAAATACAGGATGAAAAGAGTGTACCTTTCTCTGAATGTCATCAAATATTTCAGGTGTTGGATCGTCATGGTTCAGTGTTTCTGCCAGTTTTGCTACTAAGTTGTCATCAATATTAACTCTTGGAGATGCCTGTCACAGAGATCTAAATCAACTTTTGCAGCATAATAATAAGAAAGATTCTATTTTCAAAAATAAAACCCAATACAATTCTGCAATTCTCTAAGCAAACTAAATGTCATCTTGATGAGTATTTCTAGCTCTAGAACTGTCTAGAACACACAACAGGAGTCAAACCCCTCCTCTCCCCAAAATCAAGTTCAGAGTTTGTATTAAAACTCAGAAGTTTCAGGATTAAATACTAAAAATCACCTCAAAAACAATTTATGCACGTTATTTTGAAGCAACAGCTAAACCACATTTACTCAAGACTTAATACCACATTTTATTTATTTATTTAATAATAGAAAGATCTAGATTCAGAAATGCAGAACAAGTCAGTAACAAAGTAAATCAACAAAGTCCTGAACTATCTGAGGAAAGATTAAGAGTTTGTCAACTCTGCAACACACTGCCAGTTTCTGGAGAGATTAACAGTAGCTGTAATCACGGTAGCTTTTTATACAAACTCTATTACTGCCACTAGCATACTAACGATATCAGCCATCAGATTCCTACTCACCCCTTATGTGACATATTTTAAACCACTGCATGTTAAGCATACTCTTAGATGGGCCCAAGTTCACACACTACACTTTCCCTATTTTCTCTAACAGAGACAGGGAGCCAGCGCTGAACCAGACCCGAAAAGGCTCACTTGATCCATTAAGCACAGCTGAGAGGCTGAGTTTATCAGCTTTGGAAAAGCTCTGGTGTTAGATAGCTTCTGACTTCAAATTGGTGAGCATTCAATTTGTACATATACTGGACTGCATATTTTTGAAAAATATTTCTTCTTGCAGGGGGAAGGTAGGGGGCAGGGTAAAAGGAAGGGAAATGGGAAAGGACAGCACACACAGACAGAATTTCTTATTCTCTCTTCACATTTTCTCTAGTTTATCTTTATTCTAGCAAGTCAGCTTCTGAGGAACACTTTCAGTGCATGTGACAGGACAGTGAGTGTCAGTATGAGCCTTTTTAAATGGAGAGAAAAAAAAAAGAAAAAAGAGGAAGGTATTTTCTTAGTGCTTAACACACAGAGAGAAGATACACAAGTAATATCTTAAATGTAAACTTGTGAACATCTTGTGCTACATCACATACATTTTGTATTAACGTAGCCATAACTACCAAAAAAGCATCTGTACAAAGAATAAATCCCAAATGCTAAACAATGCAGAAATAAATCATTCCTACCTTTTCTGATAAATATTGCTCATAAACTCCAAATGCAGCTGCTCTTAATAAACCCTTGGTTTGATTAGTCTGATGTTTTCCATCTTTCTGTCGGCTTTGAAGTACCTCCAGCTGCTGCTGTGCCGTAACCCTGTATCCTTCCACTGTCATCCAGAAAAACAGATGTGCTTGGCCACCAGTCTGCTGCATGTAATCTACAGAAAACAGCACCCACACAACTATAGTTACTGTTGTGTGTCTTAGAATAAGAATTCTCTATGATGTTAGCTACATATGGAACTCCAGGATCTGGTTAAACATCTGGAATACTTGTCACCTAGAGCTAAAAAATAAAAAGTACTATATACACGTTGGTAATAACCAGTAAACAAAATTGCAAGCTAAATCTAGGAACTCAGCACTGAATCCTAAACTGCACATGTAAAAAGTGAATCCACTGTTACTGTGTGGATGTAACAGGCTTACACAGCATGATACACGTTGAGAGGAAGTTCAAACTGGAATTCTAACAAACCACGTGCATCCATTACCTTGACAGGCTTGAGAGGTGGGCCTGTGCTAACCTCATGAAGTTCAACAAGGCCAAATGCAAGGTCCTGCATCTGGGTCGGGGCAATTCCAAACATAAATACAGTCTGGGCGATGAGTGGCTTCAGACTCGTTCCAAAGAGAAGGGCTTGGGAGTGGTGGTGGATGAGAAGCTCAACATGAGCCAGCAATGCACACTCACAGACCAGAAAGCCAACCGTATTCTGGACTGCATCAAGAGAAGCGTGGCCAGCAGGTCGAGGGAGGTGATTCTCCCCCTCTACTCAGCTCTCCTAAGGCCCCACCTGGAGTACTGTGTCCAGTTCTGGAGCCCCCAATACAAGAAAGACATGGACCAGTTAGAACGAGTCCAGAGAAGGGCCACCAGGATGATCCGAGGGCTGGAGCACCTCTCCTGTGAAGACAGGCTGCGAGACTTGGGGCTGAGAGAGCCTGGAAAAGGGAAGGCTCTGGGGAGATCTTATAGCGGCCTTCCAGTACCTGAAGGGGGCCTACAAGGAAGCTGGGGAGGGACTTTTTATAAGGGCAGTTAATGACAGAACAAGGGGAAATGGGTTTAAGCTGCAAGAGGGTAGATTTAGATTAGATATTAGGAAGAAATTATTTCCTGTGAGGGTGGTCAGACACTGGAACAGGTTGCCCAAGGAAGTTGTGGCTGCTCCCTCCGTGGAAGTGTTCCAGGCCAGGTTGGATGAGGCTTTGAGCAACCTGGTCTAGTGGAAGATGTCCCTGCTCAGGTCAGGGGGGTTGGGGAACTGGATGTTCTTTAAGGTCCCTTCCAACCCAAACCATTCTATGATTCTATGATTGAGTTAAAAGTACTATCACCACCAACAAAACTGATCAATATTCTTAGTAATGACCATCAGCAGCCCAATTAATTGAAAGAAGAGAAACAAACATTAGAAAGTAATAAAAATTAATTACACAGCTCTAATCCATCTATCAATTTCTTGATTATATGATAAATCTAAAATAATACATCAATTACTGCTGTATTTTAGCTTTTCAAACAGATTACTTTCAGGAGCCTTGTAATCCTCTAAACTTCAATCTAACATCTATATTCATTAGTTCCATTAGTTTTAGTGAGACCAGCAAAAGTACAACTAATGATTGTAGTAACTTTCAAAGCCATTACAATTATAAACCTCTAAGCAATTATTGCAATGATTCTGTTCTGAAGAGAACAAACTTGTGAAGTGATAGACCAAAAAACATTGCAAGGACAGTCTTACAGAGTGGTAAGTATTGAAAAAAGCTTGATAAAAGCTTTTGGAAGTAATGAGTACGGTGTTCTGAACAGGTAATTACAGACTGATTTTCAAAAAGGTTTTGGTTCTCTCTGGCAATTGGCTTAAACACATTTAGCTCTCAGAAGACATCTATATTCAGTGATTTCAAGTGCACAGTCCTGTGAGTTAGCATATTCTTTATAAATAAAAAAGACAAGATAACTTAACACTTACCCATAAAAAATTGTAGTGCAACATTGTCTACCAGAATATGGTCCAAAGGGACTGTGCAAAGTTTTCCGAAGTTTGCTGCCAGTTTCACAGTATCTATTTCCTATAAGACACAGTTCAGTGTGTTCATAGGCTTTATTTTTTTTTTAATTAGCTTTTAAAATTTCTGCTTACCACGAAGCAGACGTAATAAAAAAATAATTTACATTACAGATAATAAAGCAGCCTCTCAATGGTTAGTTATTTTCACAATCACTAACAATTGAAGTTCTAGATCATAAGGTCATGCTCACCTAACTATTTGCCTTCAGCATGGATGACTTCTGCTATATGGGAAGCTGGCTTTTAACACTGCTGTTCATGTAATACTATACAGGTCAAATTAACCCCAAATCCTTCATCAGCATAAGGGAGCATGAAAGTTAATTAATAAGATTAACTAATTTCAGAGTTTGATGGGGTGCAGGTCACTACAACTTAAATTCATCTCTGCCCAACTTTTTTCCTGATAATATGACATTTCTTGGTATTACAGTAATGGTTCTGGATCCAGCTGTAGAATACTTAAACATTTTAACAGTCAATATGCGCAAGATCACATTATCTTGGAGTCACACCTAGGTCCAATTAAGAGAGTCAAGAAACTAAGCAAAGCCAAACATACTGACTCTGTCAGCCTTGAACCACAAAAGAAAATATAAAACAAGCAAATAGAACTATATGAAGTTCCCAAACTTAGTATCAGTTTGCCTTAGGCTTTTCATACCTAAAGAGGTAAATATGTCTGACAAAAGAAAATACATGAAGCCTACAAGGCATTGCAAAATAATCAGCAAATGGTACCTTTATCAACAAGAAAAGAATCTTTGCCAAAATCTAAGAAGCTTGATGCACAAAAGGTACACACTGGAGCAGCAAAAAATAACTGAATCTAGGTGTATAAATACAAAGATGCTTTGCACCTATGTAACATTTTGCTTTAACTCTTGCATTGAAAAAGTAAGAATAGCTTGAAGATGTACCTGCATCTCAACTGCTAAAGCTAGAATCAAAAAAACTCTAAACATGTGAAACTTTACAAATTCTTTCTGTAAGTAAATTGCAAATACAAGACTAAGTTCAGTTGTAGAATGTACTCCTATAACTGCATATTTCAAGTTGTGTTTCAAAATGCAAGAATCAAAAAGCTAGACCAAACTAGTAAGTCATTTGCAGCTTCACTCTTTTGGAACTAAGAAAATTATAAAACACTTACTTTTCCTGACTGCAACCTCTGAATTCTTGAATCGCATACTTTAATAACATATAATAAACTGTTTATTTGATTTTTTATAGTGTTGATATCTGAAAGCAAGAACAAAGAGGATTAAGCAATACAGATGAGTAAATAAACTCATACAAAAAGTGATGTACAATTTACAAAATACATCAGCTTTGAACAGAAGGGTTTTTTCGGCTTAAATACCTTACTGATAGAAATGAACAAGAAATATTTTTCTCTTTCCTTTTTCAGATTAACTGTTAACTGGCTACCCAGTAATACCTGAAGTATTACTGAAATTCAGAACCATCGGTCAGGCAAGTTTCAATTCAGTGGAAGTATACATACCTAACCAACCAGTCTATTTAAAAACCAGAAACAACAACAACAAAACCCCCCAAAAACCAACAAACCACACATACGAAGAATCAAGTTTCAACACTCCACATATAATTTAATTTTTTAAATAATGAAATATTTTATACTATACTGCATCAAGAGTTTTTATTTTCTAAATTTTTTGAGTATTCAGAGATAATTTTGTAAAACAATTCAGCACTAACCATCTCCTGCTGTATCTAGAGATCGAAGATATTGCAGTTCTTCACTTGCTTTATCTTTCACCGCTTCCAACTCTCCTATATTATCACTTAATTTAATAATATTCATAAAGGCCTCATAGTTACAGTTGGAATCACGAATCTGAAACAGAATTTTTACAATGTCAATAATGCCAAACAGACATTATATTTCATTAAATGAATTATTTTTATGCAGTACAGCAAAGTGGCATTTTGAAAACACTTTGATGCTTCTAAACCTTTATTTTGATACTAAAATTTCACATGGACCAAGAAAAAGGAAATATGCACAGTTAACTCTATTCCAGCTGAAACCGGGACATGAGACCACTGAAGAGGTTTCAGTTTTGCCACGCTTCCCTGCAAGTGTACCTGCTCCCAATGTAATGGCTTCTTCAGATACAGAATTACAAAAAGAATTAAAGCATTCTGTAATGTAACCATAACCTAATAACCTACAGGGGACAAAAAAAAAATCTTCTGAAATCCCAATTCAGCTTCTTAATAGTATTTACAGGGGTATTTCAATACGTACTATTTTCCCAGCACTGGCTTAGGGTGAACCTGCTCTGGGGACTCAAAGGAGATTGTACAAGTGAAGGAAGCTTGCTGTGCTGCTGAGATCACTGGAAACTGTGTTGTGAATGCAGCATGGAGATCAGGGGAAGGCTGGCAGCATCGCAGCATGTGCACACAGGTGCAGAGGGTTGAGTTCTAATGCTGTCTTCACCATCCGAAGCCAAAAAAAGTCAATTTACCCACATCTTTCATAAATGCTCACTTTGATATGGAAATGTAGCACTTGGTCTGTGTTGCAGAAGTGCATTGACATGAGTTGCACAGAATAGAGCAAATGAAGACTGGATACCTTTGACCAAAGTTAACAGAAAATCTTCCTAGAAATCTGCTTTTAAAAGTAATGGTACATGCAATGCTTGAACTTCAAACATTTTGTAAAAATGTGAATTTCACAGTGAAGAGAGACAAGTTTGGACTAACTTCTAATTTTATATGGAAGCTTTATATTTTGTTGCAAGAGAATTAGTATCGAACTTAGTGCGCCTAGAAACATGGAATGAAACTTTTCATTTTCAGAAACTGATTTTTTTTTCATTCAAATGTGATTTTATGTCAAAGGTTCAAAAAGGAGACAGAATTTATTTCAGTCATATCTATTTCTGATCTTAATTTCTGCAATCTTCATTTCATAAGACTTGTATTAAATTTCTGAAAGCATTTATTCTTCTTTATCTTTCCCCCAGCACATGCACTTCCTCATCTCAGACAGCAATTATGAAAATTAATATTTGGGACATAACCATCATAACAGAAAGCTTTATAAAAACCTCAGAATTCTATTTTTGGATGCAGCTGGGGACAGTGCTCAGTAAATAAAGAATGAGGCCAAGTTACAAATAAAGAACATGCGTAGGAGGAAAGGGGAAACAAAGATTGAAAAGCTTGGTCCATACAAGCAGCAGTATTTTTTCTTTTTAAAGTTATGTTCCTGTAGAAAAGTAGTGTGCAAACTTTTACATGAAATGGATGTGGCTGGAGTGAAGGAAACATTGTACACGTACGCTTGATTTCATTCCATACATAAGAACATTTACTCTGAAATCCAAGAGTGTTTTCAGCATAGTACCTGAATGCACGCTATAAGAATAAATACATGAATAAAAGTAGAGATAACTTGGGGAAAGGAAAAAAAATTAAACTTGATTCATGACCTGTAAGGGATAACTTGCTTAGCAAAAAACCAACAACATTAACTAAAAGGTGAATACTCTATGTTAATTTTACTATATAATACTACTTTTTAAAAGTTTGGAGGGGAGGGGTTTGCAGGTGCATTAGAGAGATATCAAACTAAAGACTTTGCTTCTTCCCATTCCATTAAATTATTAAGGGTTACCACAAACATCCCTAACACAATCACCCTGAGATTCCTTAGCAGAAGCAAAAAGCTCCAATCTCGCTACCTGTCATTCAGGAAGTCTCTTAAGCTTTAAAAGACACATCATAAAAAAAAAGTCAAGGAAAAAAGCTTCCAAGGTTACCACCATACTTCCTGAACATCTAAGTAAAACAGAGGACTCAACTTTACACTTTCTCGTCCACCTGTCCTCAGTCAGGCGATTTTTGCCAAACCACCATAGAGTACAAATAATACAGATGGAGTGTGAATATGTGTGTGTGTATACATACATGTATATACAAAAAAATAAATACCATATATATAGAAAGAATTTAATATAGCAGCCATACGTTCAGTATCTCTGCCAGTATATCCATTGGTAACTTTTCTACCAGATACCTATCTGCCATGATTACAGGAAACACAAGTAAAGCTTTATAGAAACATATTCCAGAAATATCACTCATTTTAAATGTTATAAATCTTACCATCCATATGACATACTGATTAATATAATCAGGATCACTGAGCTGGTTGATTAATGGAAGAAGAATTCCTCGGGAGAGGATTTCCTGAAAAACAACATAAAATAAATCATTTTATACATTTATTCATAAAGCTAATATAACTGCAATAATTAAAAAAAATATCACTGTGTAGAGGCTAAATAAAAAATGTATAATTACAGAAAACATTCAATAAGCACATTCCTTTCCAATTAACATCAGAAGATGTTAGTATTTCAAGAAAAACATCATCCATTTTATCACGCTTTTCAAATGTTGCTAGAGGTAAAAGAAACTTTAAAAACATGCCACACAATCTGTTCTCTGCTATTAAATACTTATCAAGAGTGTACTGCATATAAAACAACCTAACATTAAATTAGATCATTTTTACAAAATAAAATAAGAGTGGTAGTTCAGATCTATATTTTTTAATGACATTAAACCAAAGAACTGGGATGGCTTCTAGAGTCTGTACTTACCCTGACAAAGTATCGCATGATCTTGTTCTGGAAGTCTCCAGGAGGTAGCAATATATACAGTAAAACCTCACACAGATCCCTTAGGAACCCTATCAAGGAGAACGAAAAGCCCTCAGCACCATTTTTGTATTATGTTATTCCACATCTTACCTGATATCATAAAAACCAACAGATAAATCCTTAAAAATTAAATTCAAATATAGTCATATATATATTCTTATAGTCCAAGCATCACAGTAACACCTTTCAGACAGAACATAAGCAACACTGATGTAAACCTGAGACACATCTAAAGTCTCAAAACCCAGACAAAAGAAAGTCAAATTCCAAGAACCAAAAACCTAACTCAAATATATTTTCCTTATTTAACATATACAGAGGTTTTTTTTCCCCTCCTTCATGCTCAAAAAAGATAAACTGATTTTTTTAATGAAGACTATGGAGTAGTGACAAGGAAGGCAGATCTAACAAAAAGCAGTAAGAATCTGCAAAGTCTTCCCCTGCTTCCCAGGAAACATTATCATCTTAATTTTTTTGCAGTAAAAAGAAGAATGGCTATATAGGTACATACTTCGTTATAATTATAGCATTAATATATACAAACTAGAGGATATACATATGTACAGTAGATAATGCTTTGAAAAATTACATGCTACGATTTCAGTGTATTTCATGTTGTGAACACAATTTTTAGTTTTTTAATTTAGTCTGATACACTAAAATAACTTCAGAAGATAATATTGAAAAGACCTTCTTCATCTTTGGGAGAAGTGCAGACTAGATCACGACAGACTTCTTTTTCCATTTCAACTTCAACCTCAAAGAATGTATCTACAAGTTCCTCAGCTTGGTCTGTACATAAGAAAATGAAAATAAACATACTTTTTGGTAAAGATTAGAAACTTGAGAGTAAGCTTGAATTATAAAATAAAGCTAACTACATTTCACACATGTAAGATACCTGCCTACTCAGACTCAAATAAAAAAAATATTTAAATAATTTCATTACCCTTCATCTGATCAGCTTTCTCTGCTATTCTTTGCTGAGCTTTTCTGAAAACTCGAAGATGAGTGCCAAAGTCATCAACAAGTCGTGTAGTAAAATAAGGCTGCCAGTCTGTTTCCTTTGACCTATGAGGAAAGGACATCCATGAAAGTGAATTATTTTATCCTGAACCCAAAGAACCATAATAAATTTATACTTCCTCTTCTTCCCTGCCAAGGACCATGCTGTTAGTAAAGATGGAAAAGCAAAGAAATAGATCAGTCTCCTGATTGCCTATCCATTGAAAATAAAACAAATCTTGTAAAATACCACTCTTGCGCCACATTAAAATTTATGACTGTACTACTTTAAGGTCAACATTAGTATCCAAAATAGTGTTCTGATTCATGACATCATCAAATACCTGTGAAAAATCCTGATATAAACAGTCTACAACCTAAAACTAAAATACTCTTCAGGCCTTTTTCAGCCATGCTTTCTATCATTTTGGAAGGTACCTAAATAAATAATTTTCTTCTGAATTGCAGTATATGCATGAGTGTGAAAACACTCGTTTTACTTGAATCTACAAACGACCTAATAGTATCAATAATTGATTCCCCAGCTTATATGAGAGGTAATTAGCATGGATCTCCAACAAGGCACATAGGTTAGCATCAGAAAACATTCACTGTTAGATTTGCATAAAACTATTTCCTTAGTGGTATGAAAAAGATGTAGAGATATTATTACGGTGTCCATGCCTTACTAGCTAATGGAAAAGACATGTCCTGGTTTGGGGTGGGATAGAGTTAATCTTCTTCCTAGTAGCTGGTATAATACTGTGTTTTGGATCTAGGATGAGAAGAATGTTGATTTACACACTGATGTTTTAGTTGTTACTGAGCACTGCTTATACTAAGTCAAGGAAGGCCTTTTCTGCTTCTCACCCCACCCCACCAGTGAGCAAGCTGGGGGAGCACAAGTTGGGAGGGGACACAGCTGGGACAGGTGACCCCAACTGACCAAAAGGATATTCCAGACCATATGATGTCACGCTCAGCATACAAAGCTGGAGGAAGAAGAAGGAAGCAGGGGACATTTGGAATGATGACATTAGTCTTCCCAAGTAACGGTTACATACGATGGAGCCCTGCTTTCCTGATGATGGGAACCAATGAATTAATTCCTTTGCTTCAATTGCACGTGTGGCTTTTGTTTTACCTATTAAACTGTCTTTATCACTCTACCCATGAGTTTTCTCACTTTTACTCTTCTGATTCTCTCCCTCATCCTACTGGGTCATGGGGGGGAAGTGAGCAAGTGGCTGTGTGGTGTTTGGTTGCCAGCTGGGGTTACACCACAACAAGGCACTTGTAGTGTTATAAGTTCAAGGAAGCTAGATGGCAGTGACGGCTTTTGCTCTGCACTAAGTATTCCACTACCTGAATTCACTCAGATACCTACTCTGTTACAGAATCCTTTTACAACACTTCCTTTTTTGTGTTTGTTCCCTCACCTGCTCTTTCTTCCCTCAAAGAGAGAGAAAGGGATAAGGAACTCTGGAACAGAATGAAGTCTACTGCAAAATCTAGATGTGGAAATAAGAAGCAGAGCTGTCTCAAAAGTGCAGTCAAAGCCATCAATAATCTAGATCCACTATTTGCACAACCAACACATCACACAAAAACACTAGGTGGCAGCCTTACATCAGTCTCCCAAATGTGGAGCTCTCAAGGGAAAAACAAAAAAAACAAAACCCAACAAACTAACACACAAGAAATATCCCACTGTATTAACTCTCTCCAGAGGCTCACAGGGCATATAAAATTAGAGATGATGGTATTAACCTAAGGCTATATCCAACTACAGTCAACATAAATACACTAGATAATTTTTTCTTAGTAACAACAACAACTGCTGCAGCCCCGTGAAACAGATTTGATTTGTACAGAAGAACTGCACGGGAGTGGTGGCTATTTTTGAACAGCTATAGCACTGTAGGAAAAAAAAATAAATTCGCTGTAACTTGACCTGCTCTGACACAAGACCAATACTTTACACTGTTCAATGAAGTAACTTCACCAAACTGACAAAAACACTGAAGTTGGGTAGCCAGGTCCATTTCATGTAAGCACAGGATTGCTTGCTGTAACAGTTTATTTAGCCTGGTTTTCACTATTTCCAATACTGTTTCCTAGGATTGCTGTTATTTCACAATCAATGAGATTTTTTTTTTATACTTAATTTTTCGTAGCACTAAATGTAGTTCTCCATCTTTGACCTTTCTTGCCAGAAAAGCACATTGACCTATGTTTTCAAGTCAAGAGAAGGGAGGAATATCAACACCTCAAAACTGCCAAGTTTATTATATTATATATAAAGTTTATTATATTTAGGTGACCCACAACCTCTTCTGAAAACAGGTAACAGTCAGCATAGTGAGATGAATACCTGAAATCATTACTTAACAAAGAAGTAGATGGGTATGGATGTAAAAGCATGTGGTACCTGAGCAGAGAAATGAGTCATAATAAAAATAAATAACTTCCCACAGACGTTCCCTGACTTCCTGCTACTTGATTAAGCAACAGCAGAAAAAAACCTGGGACAATTAACAAACTATCCATTTGTTCTGAACCAATCCTATTTAAAAAAAAAAAAAGATTTACATGTGTGACATATCATTTCGTTCCCCAGATTACCATTCCTTTAAAAATACTCATTCTTACATACTGAAGAGCAATACCACTTTTAAAAGTTCTCAGAGCTGATAAAGATATTTGAATTAAAAGCTTTCAGACTGACTTACCTTGAGAATAGCCCTGCTGTTTATATGAAACAGACCTGCACATAAAAAGGTGATGATTCATGCAACTCAAGGTTTAAATTGCAGAAAAATAGCTATTCAGTAATTTAGACATTAATCTGAATATTAAAAAGGCCATTTTGCAGAAGATCATGACCACAAACATCATCTCCATTCATTCCTTAAGGGATTAGCAAAAGACTTAGATTATGATCTTAAAATTTTACATGTTCTTTCCGTAAAATGCAATGAACTACGCCAACAGATAAACTTAAACATTTATCCACTACCATACAACCCACAGAGATATTTATCCACTTGCTTAGACTGTGTACTGATGTAAACATCAATAATCTTACCTAGCAGAAAACTGCACAAGTGCATACTGAAGAGCCTGCCTGATTTCCAGAAGAAACGATTCATCATCACTTAGTGTGTAATACCAATACTGCACATAGTCTCTCAGGGAAAACTGGATTACCTGAAATTGTAAAGGAAAAAATAAAGACGAACTAATGAACAAAAGACAACAATATAAAACAGCCCTCTGTGCCTGATAATGCAACAGTGGTCTTAATAAAGGTTAACATAGGGAACCATACTCCTCTACCATTATGAAATCCTGAGTGAAACAACGTAACTCACATACTGAAACCTCTTTCTCTTACACACATTCATTACTGTTATGCTGAGAAACTACAATATACGGAAAACAGACTCAAATATTGACCCATAATACCCTGGCTCATCCTCAATGGTTTTATTTACCACTCCCAAATATGATAGAATTCCTCAATTTCTATTTGTCTCTCAACTATTTAGATATTACACAGTCAATACCTGCAAAAATAAAAATAGGTTAAATGGTCCCAGTTAGAATTTACCTGTTGCAAAGGCTCATCAATAATATTTGCACCCGTCAGTCTTCTGTCAATCTTAATAGGTCTGGCTTCACGTTTCATTTCTTCTATGCACTTGAAAGAGAATACGAAATTTAACTTTGCAGGTTTTAGATACAACTAAAAGTCAGCTCTAATGTTTATGATATATGTATATTTCCAGTAAAGACTTTATACAACAGTTTCCCTATTACTGTAATTTATAGAGAAGAGAAAATCATAGGATCGTAGAATGGTTTGGGTTGGAAGGGACCATTAGGCCATCTAGTCCAATCCCCCCTGCAACGGGCAGCATCATCTTCAAGTAGATCAGGCCTCTCAGAGTCCAGCCTGACCTTGAACGTTTCCAGGGCTGGGGTATCTACCACCTCTCTGGGCAATAATACCTGTATTTTTCACTACATAGTTGTGTTGGGTTTGCACGCGTGGAGGGGTCAGTTTTGGTAGTGGGGGAAGGGGCTACCCTGTGAAAAGCTTTGCGAAGCTCCCCTGGCTCCAAGGTGTGCCTGCCCCAGCCCAGGCTGAGCTCATTAGCACTAGAGAAACGCCTCTGCGAATCCGTATTTGTGAGGGGAAGGACTGTCTTGAAAAGAAGATGGAGAGAACCTGGAGGAGAGGCCATTGACCTGAACACAAGATGACCAAGGGCCTAAACAAAGAGCGAGCTTCGTTGCCAGGAGGAAGGAGGAGGAGGGGGAGGACAGAGAACCTCAGACACCCAGTTCAACCACATGGAGTAGGATAAGGCAAAGGAGGTCCCTGGATCCCATGGAAGTTCAACGGCAGAGCAGATACCCATGTGTAGGCCATGGAGGACTCTATACTGGAGCAGAAAAGCTGAGCCTGAGGGCAAATGTGACTGAATTGAGACCCCAGAGATGCTCAATGCTGGGGGGGGAGGGCAGGGCAGGGCAGGAGGTGCGCTGGACTAGAGACCCTTCTGCAACCCATGTATGTCCCCACACCTGAAGAGGTCCATGGCTCCTTGTTCCTGGACTTTCACGCCAGGAAGAGTGGCAGAGGTGAACTGACTGCAACCCCTATTCCCTGCCCCCCTGTGCCACTGGGCAGGGAGAAGGTAAAGACATCTAGAGCAAAGTGATTTGAGCCCGGGAAGAAGGGAGGGGTGGGGGAAGGTGTTGTAAGATGTGGTTGTTATGTCTCACTGTGCTACTTGGATGAATGGAAATGAATTAAATTGACTTTTCTTCCCCAAGTTGAGTCTGTTTTGCCCGTGACCATAACTGGTGAGGGAGCCGTCCCTGTCCTCATTCTAATCTGTGCCACTTTGTTGTGACTCCCATCCCACCTTACTGGGCCGGGGGAGTGAGTGCAGGACCACATGGTCCTACCTGTGGGTGAAACCACAGCAGTAAATAACAGTGAGGAACCAATCTGAAAACCTACTTCTTGCTTACCATAAGCAAGGAGCAAGTTTGCTAAAATGCTAGATCAGAAGGAAGTAAAACTCAAATAGTTATAAAAGGATGGAGGGGGACACATGACAGCAGTGTAAGCTAGTTTGTGGGTAAGACCAGAGTTCCATACTTGATTATAAACTTCCTGTGCAATCTCAAGCAGATAACTGTTCAGTACTTGGGTTCCCCCCACCCCTCAGTTTCATTATCTCAGTTTATTCTATAGGCCAGAAGAGAAATTACTCTTTTGTACCATCACTACTTTACAGACGAGTCTTTAAAAAGTAATTGAAGATGGGGTAAAAAATTATTTTATAGAAGGACTTGCAACTCAGAGCAGTTAACTTCAAGAATTACTCAATCAGAGCTGACTTTTGGCAACTGACATACTGAAAAAGAACACCCTTTATCAGTGCTTCTCTGAGAGGACTAATAGAGTCTTTCTACAAACTTAAGATGAAATCTGCAATAAACTCCTTTATTTTCACAGAAATAACAACCCAACAACCCACACTTCTGTTCATCATTTTATTCTTTGATCTAGAGAGAAAGTTACGACTGTATCAGAAACGTAGAACTGCCAAAAACCATAAATGAAAAAGTTATAAACCCTATGTCCAGTGTTTCCATTCTACGTGACTCTCCCTAAGTATCTCTCAAACTAGTTAACAGTGAACGGCAGTGAAACACCTGAGGCCAGAAAACATTCCTCCTCCTACTTACCCAACTCTGTATCACACAAAAGTATTTTGAGAAATCTGTATATTTTTTAACTTTCAAGACAACCGAACGGTTCAATGCTACTTTAATATGAATAAAGTTGACTCACATTCAAACAATACTCCAGCTATATTCCAATGAATGTGTAAAATATTTTTTGGTCTTCATTGTGTGAAAAATACCAAAAAAATACAGTATTGAATGATTAAATATTCTTACTAAGCACAGCATAGTTCAAATTGCCAAACAAAATTGTTAAAAGAGTTCTGAAGTTTGAGGACTGCATGCATAAAACCACATTTGGAAAACATAGAAGAAAAAGCAGAAGCAAAAAAAGCAGCAGTCAGAAGACAGAGACTTATACACAGAGAATACACAGGGTTACTTGGTAAAAATCTGAACATTCATGGGCTCACAGGATTCAGGTTTCAGTCTGGACTTCAGGAAGACATCCTGTCCAACCTCCTGCTCAAAGCAGAGCCAACTACGAGGTTAGACCATTCTTTCATATTCTTTTTTCTCTAGTGAAGTGTTTATGTACATGCAGTATAATTTCATTTCCTTTTGATAAGTCTGAAGACATCTAAAATTTAGAATATCTGCTTTCATTTCATTGCAGCTACAACAGCTGACCGTAGTTCTCACTTGGAAAGTATTGCCAGTTTTAAGCCTGGCCTTCCAGACACTGACTCAAGAGACAAGCTCAAGGGAAGGACTCAATTCACATGAAAAAAACTGTCCTATTTGACTGTCACTTCATACATAATATTAGTCCAACATACTCTACCAGTATTCAATCATTAGTTAGGAAAAATAAGTATCACTTGCTATTGTTAAATCTGACACCTACTCACTTCATCTGAAGCAGGTAGGAAGCACTTATGAGGAGTGTAGGACATATACTCCACAAAGCGAGATGCAGCACAGAGTAAAGAAACCCAGCCTCCCTCCACAAGCACAACTCACCTGCAGTGAGTGAGCAAGCTTCAGACTTTTGCTCTGCTGTACTAATAGATATTTTTAAAGTTGTTTTTTGAAACTATGCTAGGTAACTGTTAAATATGAAAAACGCCTCTTTTGGACTGTGCCGCTATTTCCCAAATCACATACTTGTGGTTACTGGCTTTCAGGAGTGGACAAGGCATGGGATTTACACATCCCATGAACAAATCCGCAACATAGCATATGACGAATCGACTCAAAATAAGGAGATTCAGAGACCAGTCAGGGATCAAACACACAACTAGCGCTTACAACGGTGATAACAACTTATAGTCATTTGGCAATATTGTACCCAGCCTACAGAAACTCCTTGTCTTTCGGATAAAGCATAAGAGACATCAATTATGACAGTAACTTAACTTTCCACACCTGTTAAAGTTGGACTGAATTTATAATTTTTACTGAAAATGCTATTACAGTTAACAGTTCAGAAGGCCTTAAACTTGCCTTTCCTTCAACATTATTTTAACACAAACCTGCAGACAAGTGTGTATTTTACAGAGCCACTACCTTATGGCATCAAGTACATTCGTAACCCGAAAGTTCTTATAAAACAGACTTGCAAAAGGAAAAGCAAGTCTAATCCTAATTTTCAAACCTCCCTGCTTGTATGCAATGAAAAAAAAAAAAAAAAAAGGCAGAAAGGTATATAATTTTCCATCAAACCTACATAACTATTTCTCCTTAATATGAGGCATTCATTTTATATTCACTAAGTATAATATATATTCACTAAGTATAATAAGTGGCAACCAAGGAAACCTGTCAACACCAAATCCTGTACTGTAACTTAAAGTATGGTACATTCTACAACATTATTTCCATCCACAATTTTGGAGCTCAGAATTATAAATTATTTCTTTTAAATCAAGCATTTGAACATCTACCTTAGTCTAAAAAAATCCCCAAATAACTGAAAACCCTCAAAACAATCGATAAAACTCTGACTGGCTTTGGGGAAAATGAGCTTCTTATAAAGAACCTATATAATCAGATGACTTCTCAAAATACAGCATCACAAAATAATTTCATATTGAGGTGAATTCACTTTTACCTGGTTCATGGAAGAAGTACAACCTATACAGTTAGCCACTAGCCACTTGGAAGAAAGATATTCACTGTTCAAAACCACTTAGGGCCACAATGGTTTTAACATGAAAACAATTCCAAGTTAAAAATATTACTTGCCAATAAAGATAAGTCAGCAGAAACTTAATACAGAAATGGCAAATAGGAATCCCAAGCAAACCACACATTTGGTTTTGGTTAGGACTCATCTCTTCTTGCACTGCTACTGAAAAGCTCAGCTAAACTAGCTAATGCTATTTTTAATACAGTGGCAAAAAGAAATACAAAACACTATTGCAGAATACAAACAGACTTTAGTTGGAGAACAACTTCAAAAAGCATTAGGTAAGCTAGCTAAAAATAAATGCCTTTGTGCTACAAAGCTTAAATCCAGATATTAGTCCAGACAAGTCAGCTGAGAAAGTGATGTGTCAATAATCCACAAACAAATCATAAGTCAAACTACTGAATTAGCAAGGATTACACAAAAGCCCCTCATCACTTTATTTTTTTTATAAAGCAATGAGAGCATACATATGTACTGAGCTCAAAAAAGTAACATTAACGTAAAAAAAGTATCAGCGACGTACAGGAAATTTAAAAGACAGAAAAACTTCTTGTAAAGCTGCTCTCAAAACACAAGACATAAGCAACACTCCACAATTCATATAATATATAGCACCTTAGTCCCCTAAAATGAGGTCTCATTAACAGAACAGAATCATTAGTTGATTGCTGACTTGCCCTTTGTCAGTTTTAAATTTTGCATTTTTCATTTGGACCAGTGACATTACTTTATGGTTCAGAATATAATTAAGTTCCAGATTCATCTCAACAGACTTAAAAAGTCCACTTACCAACTGAGCTTTGAAGCAGTCACAAAAAAAGATCTGTGATTGGAAAGCAGACTCACAAAATAAACTTCTATGTGCTGATAAGAAAGTTGAACACCCCCCCCCTTCTTTCACAGACAACAGTGACTGACAGCTAAGAAAGAGCAGGATGTTTCACTCTAAACAGCTGTGAGATTAAATATGACATAACTAGCAACCTTTGGGTTAAAATGTCTCTATTTTGATGAGTGCAAATGGATTAGCCCAAGATATATCTAAACTTCTGAGCTGCCAAGATGTATTGGTTCATAAACCAAGAACACCTGGAATTTCTACCCCTTGGCTATTAAGAATTTATTCTGTACGGAACAGATGCAGATTTATCCAATTAGAAACCCTGAATTTAGGTCCATCAACCAAAAGGATATGTCTTAAGAATTCAGAAAAAAAGAAAAAGAGTTGAAAAGGAGATCCTACTGCTGTTCCACACAGGATTTTTGCCTGGTCTTAAAGACAGCCAAAGATAACTTCTACATCCCTGAATTACTGTAAATCTAGGCTTTATTACAGTTTAATCTTCTTAGTTGGGCAAGCAACTTTCTGACCACACACAATCAAAAGAATCAAAACTGGAGACTACAGATCCAGTGATGGAAGAACTCTAAATAGCCATGACAGCCTTGCAAGAAAAAGTGAGAAGGAGCTACCACTCCCACCAAAAAATACCCAACACACATAAGTAATCTGGAAAGGAATGGTTTAGTAATTCCCTTATAGATATTAGCCAGTTATATCTTACTCATTTCTCCCAATGAAGCCAGAAACAATACTTGAAACAAACATTCCATAAATGCTTAAAAAGCTTGCATTTCGAAAAGGAAAAATCTTGCATTTCACTTGCATATTGCAGCTGACTCAAAACGTAAAAGGAGGCTCTTTTTCCTTGGGAAATGGGTACAATTCTTAGATTAAAACTGATTATTATTGTCATTCTAATTTTCAAAGTTATAAAATCTGATCTAAAATTAAGACCAGTAAACTCTCCTTACCTTAGGGATCCCAACTGATGTACAAGGAAGAAACGAATGTTCACACTGTTCAAGGTATTTTTCCGAGTTGCTTTTTCCAAATAAAAGAGTAACCACAAAACCCCTAAAATGGAAAAGGAAAGATCAGCTAAAAGAAGCAATCCTCTCCCCACCCGCCCCAAATATTTCACAGTAAATTATGAAATGCAATATATGACAATTCTCACTGTTTACTCGCCTAGTAGAGTGCTCTTTCACAGTGTAGCATGCTGCTCAAAATAACTGACACAATACCAAGTATGAAGTTTCCCAGTCTTGTATTATCAGTCTTGATATACTCTTATCAAATAGCAGATCTATACAGCACAGTCTATACTACACAGCCGGCTGCATGAGAAGAACCTGTGACAGCACACTACATATGGAGGAAAGAAAGAAAGAAGAGAAGAGGAAAGAAAGAAAGAAGAGAGGAAAAAAAAACCCCAGTAGTCCTGTCAGGTTGCGCAAGACCAGAGTCAAGGAAAACACCCAGAGGATAACCGAAGTCAAACACAAGGGGTTTTTTGGGTTGTGAGTTTTTTGGGGTGTTTTTTTTTTGTGCTTTTTGTTATTCTGTTTTGTTTTTAATCAATACAGCATATAAATAAATGCACTCCTGGACGATTTAGAATGTTAGATCAGAAATTCATTATCTTCTTCCCTCACAATGATATTTAAATTATGATGTAATTAAGTAGGACAGCAGTTAATTTTATTATTGTTTACTTTATGATATAATGAAGGCATAAGGAAAAAAGCAACCATTACAAAAGTTCAACCTTGCCACAGCAATAATTTATTTACTGTTTATGACATTAGGGCATGAAACCACATAAATATAAAGCTGGTTTTACTAGGAAATAGAAGAAAAACTAAAGGCTGTGCCAATTATAGCATTACCAAAGTATGTAGCCTTTGAAAAGCCAAGCATAAAAAACCCCAGAATATGAAGTTACTGCTGCTCAGATTAGCCCTTTTGACCACCATTTGTGAACACAGGAACTCAAAGTTATTCCAGGCTTGAAACTGCTGAATTAATACTTTCTATTAATATAGACTGCTGTCGATATCCAATACACTTATTTGATTAGAATAAAATTCCTAACCAAGGTAAAATACAAGGTCTTAATTCTCAAACTGAGAACCTTTTTTTTTTTAAATAATTCAGAAGCAGGGAGGTGGTCCTTTTTACTCTGGGGCGGGGAAGAGTGAAAAAGCTACACAAAATTATTATTGGTAACTTGATAATGCATAAGAAAATTTCACTTGATACTCTGATTCTCTTATAGGCATCTTCATCTGCCAAACACATGCACTTCCTACATATGAGGACAAAAAATAAAAGCAGGTCTAATTGCTCTTCTGCTCCAGATACTTCTAGAGAGCTTTAAAATCGTAACACCAATGGTGCTAGTAGCACCACAATTCAGGTCAAGGACAAAAACTTGCTTAGAAAAATCTCAGTATTAGTTTCACTACACTTAAATGGTAACTAATGGTTTGGTTTGGGGAGGGCAATGTTTTCTTCGCGATTTTTTTTAATTATTAAAAAGTTTGGGTTTTCCTTTTAATATCTATTATTTCTCTATTGGAAATCTCACTCTTCCTTTAAAGAAAACAGTATACCTAAAATGCCTTTTTTTTTTTTTTTTTTTTTTTTTTTTTGCCAAAAATCAGTTTTAACTTCAAATATGTATCAGCAACTTGGGCAGGGGGGGGATGGGTAAGGATCCGAGAGATCCTTCCCCTTCTTTAGTTCAAAAGGATTGAAGCCTTGGAAATAACTAGTTATAAATCATACATCTCTCTTCTCTCAGATGCTATGACATTTCTAAAGTTATTGACTTATTAAAAAATACTAATATGCTACCAAAATAATTTAAATATATGCTCATTTTCTTAGATACTAAGTATTTCTATTTTTAAGCTAGAAGTGCTAGGAGCTTCTGCCTCTACAGCAGAAATTAATACATTTTATTCTCTGATTTAAAAACTTCTGTGCACTAGAGCGGTATACATTGCCTGACCATTCAGTGCAAATGCTCATCTAATTCATCAAGAGGATATTCCACACAGTAAGTGAGAAATCATTTTAGTCTTTTCTCTAAACAAATAGAGAAGAAAAATGAAAATATCATATTTTACTTAAATTTGTGTTGTTAAGTTTTTCCAAAGATTATTGGAAGATCAGCTTTTCACAAGGGACAGATTAACAACAGAACAAAGGCGACAGATAGAAAAATGAAGTCTACAGATTTATCATTTTCCATCAAATCTGAAAAACAGCAGCCTCAGCTGAATGCTTTGAGAAAGCCAAAACGCAGCTTGGAACGGTTCCCAATTTAGTCAGCAGTCAGAATCATCAGGGTAGGCAGCCAGTCACACATATATGGGTGTGATTAAGTATCAATAACTATGCTTTTTGATGACAGAGCGAATTCCTTTAAATGGCCAAAGCAATTGATGGTCCAAGAAACTTCAGTTCTCACAACAGCAGAAGCCTAAGGCTGTTGACAGAGCCAGAATTCACATTTCCTTTATTTTACTTCCTTAGAATTGAAAGGAGGAAGGAGAGAGAAGAAGGTAAAAAACATACATTGTACAAAGAAAAGGCAGATGGTAAAACAGGCCCAGCACTCAGATTAAGGGATTTGCACCAATACTTAAAGTAGAGGCAAACAATATTTTCATAAAGAGTAACACCTTGGCTACACAGGTTAAAGAAACAATATCTATCTTCTGCCTCCTGCTCTTACTGGAAAGAGCTCAGTTCTCTAAGCGATGTGTTATCAGATCCCAAACTGAAGGGTGCAGTACAAAACAAAACAAAGCTAACATTTCATAAATCAGTCTTGAAACAAAACAAAATTAAACGAAGACAAATTGTCAGTTGCCTGACCAACTTCGTACCCTTCTATGATGGAGTTACAGCTCTGATGGACATGGGAAGAGCAACTGATGTCATCCACCTGGACACGTGCAAGGCATTTGACATTGTCCCGCACAACATCCTTATATCTAAGCTGGAGGGGTATGGACTAGATGGATGGACCACTCAGTGGATAAGGAATTGGCTGGATGGTTGCATTCAAAGAGTTGTGGTCAACGGTTCAATGTCCAAGTGGAGACCAGTGATGAATGGCATCCCTCAGGGGTCGGTACTGGGACCAGTGCTGTTAACATCTCTGTCAATGACATGGACAGTGGGATTGAGTGC